TTTTACTTCTTCCTTACCAATGTGAATGCCTTTATTTCCTTTTCTTGCCTTATTGCTCTAGCTAGGACCTCCAGCACCATGCTGAATAAAAGTGGTGTTCAAGGTCATCCTTGTCTAGTTCCCATTCTCGAGGGAAATGCTTTCAATCTCTCTCTGTTGAGAATAATGTTGGCTGTTGGTTTTGTATAAATGCCCTTTATTATACTGAGGACTTCCTTTCTATTCCTATTCTGCTGAAAATTTTTATCAAGAACGAGTGTTGGGCTTTATTAAATGCCTTTTCTGTGATGACTGAGATGGTCATGTGATTCTTTTCTTTATGTGGTAATTATATTGATTGATTTTCTAATGTTGAACCATCCTTGGATAACTGGTATTAATCCTACTTGGTCATGATGTATTATTTCTTTGAGATGCTGTTGAATTCTACTGGCTAGAATTTTGTTGAGAAGTTTTGTGTCTATATTCATGAAGGATACTAGTCTGCAATTTTCTTTTTTTGTGGTGTCTTTGCCTGGCTGTGATATCAGGGTTATGTTGGCTTCACAGAATGAATTCGGGAGTATTCCTTTCTTTTCTATGCTCTGAAATAGTGTGAGTAGTATTAGTGTGAGCTCTTCTCTGAATGTTTGGTAGAATTCTCCGGTGAATTTGTCCACACCAGGGCTTTTTTTAGTTGGGAGTATTTTTATTACCTCATCAATCTCTTCTTTTGTTGTGACTGTGTTCAGACATTCTACTTTTCTTTGCATTAATTTAGGCAGGTGGTGTGTTTCCAGAAATGTGTCCATTTTCTCTAGGTTTTCAAATTTGTTGGAGTACAATTTTTCATAGTATTCTGTTATGATCTTTTTTATTTCAGTTGCTTCTGTTGCAATGTCACCTGTCTCATTTCTTATATGGGTTATTTGCTTCTTCTCCTGCTTTTTTCAATTTGGCCAGTGGTTTGTTGATTTTACTGATCCTTTCAAAGAACCAACTTCCGGCCTTGCTGATTCTTTCTACTATTTTTCTGTTCTCTATTTCATTTATTTCTGCTCTAATCTTGATTATTGCCTCTCTTCCGGTGACTGTGGGCTTCTTTTGTTGCTGTCTTTCTATTTGTTAGACTTGTAGGGTAAATGTTTTGATTTTGGCCCTTTCTTCTTTTCTGGTGTGTGTGTGTTTATTGCGATAAATTTCTGAGCACTTCTTTTGCTAAGCCCAAAAGGTTTTGGTATTTTGTTTTCATTCTCATTTGATTCTAGGAATTTTTTAATTTCGTCTTTTTTTCTTCTATTCCCAAATTGTTTTTAAGCAAGGTGTTATTCAGTTTCCATGTATTTGATTTTTTTCCTTGCTCTTCCTGTTATTGATTTCTACTTATAGACAGTGCTGTGATGAAAGAAAATGCTTTGCATTATTTCGATGTTTTGGATTTTATTGAGGTTTGCTTTTGTGGCCTAAAATGTGGTTTATTCTGGAAAACAATCCATATGTGCTGGAAAAGAATGTATAGTGTTCTGTATACGTCTATGAGGTCGAGTTGGTTGATTGTGACATTTAGATTTTCTGTATCTTTGTTGAATTTCTTTCTAGTTGTTCTGTCCTCCACAGAAAGTGGAGTGTTGAAGTCTCCTATTATTATTGTGGAACTATCTATTTCTCTTTTCAGTGCTGTTGGAGTTCATTTTATGTATTTTGCAGCCCTGTCATTGGGTGCGTAGATATTTCTTATGCCTATGTCCTCTTGGTGGATTGACCCTTTAATCATTTATATAATGTCCTTCCTTATTTTTTATGGTGGATTTTGCCTTAAAGTCTATTTTATCTGAGATTAGTATTGCCATTCCTGCTCTTTTTTGATTATTGTTTGCTTGATATATTTTTCCTATCCTTTGAGTTTTAGTTTATTTATGTCTAAAGTGTGTCTCCTGTAGACAGCATATTGATGGGTCATGATTTTTTATCCATCCTGCCATTCTCTCTTTACTGGAGCATTTAAACCATTTACATTCACTGTGATTATCGATAGGTATGGGTTTACTGCTGTCATTTTGTTGTGCTTTCTTTTTTTGTGGATTTTCTTTTCATTTCTTTCACTGCTGTTGATTTTGTGTTTACTGTGTATGTTTTTCTTCTTTTTATTTTGATGAGTAGGTTTGTTAACTTTCTTTGTGGTTACCTTGAAATTTACCTTTATCTTCCTAAGATTAAAGCAGTCTTTCACTTCTTGATATCGCCTTGACTTCCTCTCTGTATGAAAGTTCTATAACTAAACCACATTCCCCCCTTTCTGTTTTGACGTTGTTGTCATTTACAGATTGATGTCTCTGGTCTCCTGTTTTCAGCCAGTTTTTTTTTTTTTTTTTTTTTTTTTTGAGAGTTCTTTGTCTAGGTTGGTATCTGGCTGATGCTGTCCTGTGTCCACATCTCAGGTTGTTGTCTGATGCTGTTGGTTCTCTGTCCGAAGGACTCTCTTTAATATTTCTTGTAAATGTGGTCTGTTCTTTTAGAAATTCCGCTAATTTCTGTTTATCTGGAAATGTCCTAATTTTACCATTATATGAGAGAGACAATTTTGCTAGATATATAATTCTTGGTTGGTAATTTTTTCTTTCAAGGTTTTACATGTCATTCCATTACCTTCTTGCCTGCATGGTTTCTGCCAAGTAATCAGAACTTAGTCTTATTGGTTCCCTTTGTAAGTGACTTTGTTTTTCCTAAGCTGCTCTCAGGATTCTTTGTCTTTGGTTTTGGCAAGTTTCATTATGGTGTGTCTTGGTAACTTTCTTTTGGTGTCTATCATGTATGGGGTTCACTGAGCATACTGGATGGTATCTTCTTATCTTTCATATTAGGGAAGTTTTCTGCCAGCAAATCTTCAACAATTTTTTTTTTTTTTTTACCCTCTCCTCATCTGGAATTCCAGTCATGTACAAATTTTTCCTCTTGACAGTGTCTGACATAATTCTTAGGTTTTCTTCCGATTTTTTCTCAAATTGCTGTCAAGGAATTTGTCCTCCATTTCACTGATTCTGTCTTCCACTGACTCAATTCTGCTCCTACATCCTTCTATGGGAGCCCTGGTGGCACAGTGGTTAAGCATTCGGCTGCTAACCAAAAGGTCAGCAGTTCGAGTCCACCAGCTGCTCCTTGGAAACCCTATGGGACAGTTCTACTCTGTCCAATAGGGTTGCTATGAGTCAGCATCAACTTGATGTCAATAGTTTGGGTTTGGTTTTAATCCTTCTATTGAGTTGTCTATTTCTGAAATTTTATTGGTAAATCTTCTGGATTTCTAGTTGCTTTTTTTTGTATGGTTTCTGTGTATTTGTCATTTTGTTCTTGTATTGTTTTCCTGAATTTTTCTATTGTTTTGTCTGTTTTCCTTGGTTTTGTCTGTGATTTCCTTATCTCTTGAAGAACTCTATATATTAGTCTTTTGAATTCCTTATCAGTTAGCTCTATTACTATTTCTTCCTCTGAAAGGTTTTCTGGTTCGTTATTTTGATCACTTGCTGGAGCCATCGTCTTGCTTCTTTATGTGGTTTGATATTGTTTGTTGTCTCCAAAGCATTAAGGTGTTATTATATTTATTTATTTATTGTATGTTTGTTTGCTGCATTCTGATTTTTTTGTTTGGTTTTGTTTTCATATATCTGAGTAGGCGAGGAGTGCATGCTACTCTGGTCACTAGTCTGGCTGTACTGGAGCTCTCACCACCTGTCACCAGGTGACTGGGGCAGCAGCTGTTGAGCCTGGGTCTCTGTTTGCTGGATGTGGCTGGCAATGCTTTTGAGGTGATGTGTTTGTCTGGCTGGTCATCTGGCCATGGGTGCAGGAAGTGTTCTCGCTGGTCATTGGACTGGGCGTTGTGTGTGTGCACTGCTGGCTGCCAGGTGGTCAGTGCAAAGGTGCCTGGGTCATTGGTCACAAGGTGGATGATAAGGAAACTCTCACCAACTGTCCTGGGTGGGCAGGGCTGAGTAGGAGTGGTCACAGCAGGCACAAGTCTCTGGTTGCAGGGGGTGGTGCAGAGGGCAAGGCAGGAGACGCTGCTGGTCCATCGTGTGCACTTGGCGGGTGTGCCCGTTATTGTGCAATGTTGAGGAGGGTGTGCCACCTGTCCTCATACCCCAGTGCAGGTGGCTGGAGGGAGTAGGAGGCACCACTGGCCTGTAGACCCCAACACAGGTGGCTAGGTGTAGGAGTGGGTGTGTCTGGTTTGCAGGCTTCTGGCACCAGTGGCTTGGGGGAGCAGTGGGCGCCGCTGGTCTGTAGGCCCCTGATGTGGGCGGCTGTGCATAGGAACAAGTGCTACTGGTCCTCGGGACCCTGACGCAGTTGGCTGGGTGGAAGAGGGCATGCCACCGGTCCCCAAGTGCCTGGCAGCCAGGCAGAGAAACAAACACTGCCAGTCTGCAGGCCCTGGCTCAGGTGGCTGGGCTTAGGAACAGGCATTGCCCATCTGCAGGCTCCCAGCACGGGTGGCTGGGTCGAAGAAGGACTGCCACTGGACAGACCATGGGCTCCTGGCATGGATGGGTGGGTGGAACAGGGGATGCAACCCACCCACAGGCCTCTGGTGCAGACAGCTGGGCAGAGAAGTGGACAGACAGACCGTGAGCCTCTGGCGTGGTTGAGTGGGCAAAAGAGGGGATGCTGCCAGTTCACGGGCCCCCAGTACAGGTGGTCAGGCAGAGAAGTGGGTGCTGCCATTCTGTGGGCCCTCAGCAGCGGTGGCTAGAAGGTGAGGTGGGTTCTGCTGCTCCATGGGTTCCTGACATGAGTGGCTGAGTGAAGGGATGGGCACCACCAGTCTGTGGGCCCTTGGCTCAGAGGGCCGGGTGGTGGTGGGTACCACAGGACCGTGATTGTGCACAGGGAGAGATGTATGAGGGAGGTGGGGGGGCACCACAGGTTTGCGGGCCTCTGGCACAGGGGTCTGGCGAGGGCACAGTGGGTGAGTTGAGTACACTTAACTTTTGCAGGGAGAGGAGCACTCCTGCCCGGCTCTGGTTGTGGGTACAGAGTTGCTCCTACTTCATTGCACCAGGTGACAGGATCTTAGCTGGGAACAGTGCTTGCTTTGTCTCAGTATAGCTGCGCCATGCAAAGTTCAGCTGGTAGGGCACCAGTGATCCATAATTCTCCGTGTCTGCTGTTTTTGTACAGTTTCTCCTTCTACTTGGCACATGGCCTGATTCTTCAGCCTTGTCTTTGATGTTCAAGGTTCCAAAGTTGTCATCTATATCTGATTCACTTGTTTTCTGAGGTCTTTGTTGTATGAGGGACATTATGAAGCATGTGACTATGCCACCATCTTGGACCGCCTCCTGGTTAACATAGTGGGCTCTGCAGTCACCTGCCCTGCCCCTAATCATTACCCTCTGGCTCACTTCTGAAGGGAGCTTGGAGAAAGGGAAGCTATCTCTTTTTCTTATAAACTTGGTAACATTTCCTCAGTCTCTTACCTGACTAAGAGTCAAACTGATGCTTGTATCTAGGCTGCATGGGTTACTAGTCCTCACCTTCAGTTTTCCTTGAAATAAACAGGAAAGTAAGTACCTCTTTTTTTTTCCCTCAAGCTGAAGAAATAAATTGAAAAGATATGATAGGAAAGCACAGACTGAAGAAAGCAAAGAAAGAAATAGGGAAGAGATAAGGCTTGTAATACATGTTTACATTCTCTTCTTGTCCATCCTTTAAACCTTTTTAGACCTTTGGCACCAATCCCTCTCTATGGCCTTAGGGTCCCCTTAGGGGACCAAAAAATATCTGAAAAGAAAATTCATATAAGGAGTTGACGGATAACTGAAAAAAAGTTTAACAGACATAGAGGAAATAGGCCACAGAGATGGCCTGGTCCAAATGAAGGGACCAAGGGAAGTAACACTACAGAGTAAATTCAGCCCACAGGTCTACAGGTCCACTTTGTGGAAGCCTGGAACTCCAGAGCCATAGAGGAATTTAAAGCAAGGCAGATAAAAGCATGTTGTGTATCTATGGTCAATACCAGGAAACATCCTATAACCTGCTGTCTGGGGTGTTCTGACATGATTAAAAAGTTATGCTGTACTTTGTTGGGGAGCAAAACTAAACAGAAAACTGATGGAAAGTCAAGCAAGCTGCAGTGGTTTGAGAGCTGGAGAAAAAGGTAAAAATTGCACCTAGTCCTGATGCCTCCTTCTGCTGTTGGCCAGATGGTATACATGTCTGAGCTTATGACCAGGCTTTTCAGGGCTGCAGGGATGAGGGATAAAAGCCCAATACATTATTCACTTAGGACACATTTGCGAGAAGGAGAGATGAGAGGAAAATGGAGAAAGCAACAGTAAATATGAAATGATTTCTTGCCCTTTCTATCTAGCCACAATACATTCCAGAGTCAAGTGATGTTACGGGATTGCTGAGAAGAGAAAAGACAGACTGTCCTGGAAATAAAGGCATACTCCACAAGGAGCTGAATACTCAGGCTCATCCAGGAAACACTGGGTGACAATTGCCCCTTTGGTTCTATCAAAAAAGACATGTTCATCCTGGATAAAAGTGAATTATAACATCTGAGAGCAAAGAATAAAAATATAAAACTATAAATTAAAAGAAATTATTCTAAATTAAAACAATTATGCTTAAAGATCAAGGAAAAAAATTATAGAAGCAACCACAGAATTTATGAAAAAAGATAACTGATCCTATTTTATACCTATTATTTCAGAAATGAATAATAAAATGGACACTGAAACCGGTTGAGAAACTAGTAAGAATCTAATAGATTTGAAATAATTTGTTACCTTGCAACCTTGGCCTTTACTTGGTTGGCAATAGCTCTAGGATTTTAATGACACAGGAAAAAGAAATGGAGCAACAATAATACTACTGCCCTAAATGCACTGTTCTTCAGACTCCAGAAAGATATAGAGAAGACTTAGGAGGCATATTAATGTTTAATGTCATCAGTTCTGGTGGTAACTTACCATGGGCAAGATTTATTCAGAGTATAAATGGACTAGAAAACGTGTTTTGGCATAGAGAGATCCATTTGACTTTATTTATGATGCCAAGAAGTTGTAATCAGTATCTGATTAGTTAGAAGTAGAAAGATAGTCATTTTGATTGTCTTTAAGAACCAAAACACAGTTTCTTTGCATTTGGTTGAAGAACAATACTCTGCAGTCTGTGCCAATAAAATCAAACTGGACTTCTCTATTCACCAGTGCAACTTAGTCAACTATTCAGTTAAGCTATACATTCATTATTTTATTCAGCCTTATGATGGCTTTCATTTTACATTTTATATAAAATAAAACATGACTAACTTGTAAAAAAAAACATGTAAATGATAGAAATGCACCATTTTGACCGGCAAAATTTTACTAAAAAATCTCAGCAAATTTCACTAGAATTTGTCTTTCAATCTCATAGTCTTTTAATTTCATTAAACACAGTAAGTGATGGATTAAAATGGTTTTCTTTTAACCTGACAGGAAAAATATCATGAACATAATTTCTGAGTACAGAAAATGATGTACAGGCAGCAGGGCTTCCTCACTGCTGTAATACTTCATTTTAAAAAATAAATACAGTACCAATCATCATTTTGATTTCAGTGAATAAAAACTTAAAATTTAATTTATTAATCCCTTTTGAAGTCTGAAACCAAACCAGCCCTTTAACAATATTGCCTGATAGTACAGGCCAAGTCTAATACATTAATCACAATGCAAATTTTTGGCCAAATTAGAGTGGCTCTCTCTGTTACCAAGGTATCAGAGTTTGTCCTTTTGTTGGGTTTCAATTTGCCATAACAACCAAGGATAGGATTACACATAAACAGAAGTATACAGGACTTCATGAAATTGAATATGGGGGATTAAGCATTTTTAAAGTCTGCATAATAATTCCTACTGCAACGCAAGTTCTGCTGCATAATTCACAATGACCTAAAAACTTTTCAGCAATAAAATTATATTAAAAAAATATACCATCATCCCTATATGTTACATAACTGTAGACATCGCAACCACTTAAGCCTTTCATTAGCTTAGAAAAGTACAACCTTTCCCTGAAAAACTCTAAAAAGCGATCATATTTCAGTCACAGCTGTCCTGAACTTTCATAATCAGCAGTGACTGTATTTTGTCACTTCTTTATTCTAACACAGTAAATACGGTGACAATAATTTTCTTTAAAAAAGGGAAGCTGGAGGACTTGAATCCAATTAGTGATGCAACAGACTTTTTAACAACCAGTGTATTTATACATATATATATACATATATATATACATTTTTTTTAGTTGTAAAACATCCATTATATTGGTGAAACAGTTGACAGAGAACTGCCAAACTTGCCAAAACTACTTTATTTCTATAGGATTTTGATCCCTCTTAAAACAATAGTATACAAACTTAGCTATAAAGAATTCAGTCCCAATGAATGAAAACAAACATAATAAATCTGTGTTGTTGTGTGTCGTCGAGTCGATTCCAACTTATAGCGACCCTATAGGACAGAGGAGAACTGCCCCATAGGGTTTCCAAGGAGCGGCTGGTGGATTCAAACTGCTGACCTTTTTGGTTAGCAGCCTGAGCGCGCAACCACTTTGCTACCAGGGCTTCAATAAATCTATAGGAGGTTTAAAAGTAACGTCATTTGTTTTTTAAATATTCAAGTGTAATGCTTCTGTAAAAGATTAAAACTGGCCATTTCAACTTTATCAAATTTCCAGTTGTTTCTAACCTGCCAGTGCATAGGTTCACTGCACTGTCCAACAGCCCAACTGGTCATGGAGCTAGAGATGGTGTTATCAGTGGAAAAAACAACATGGCTCCCACGGCATTCATCCAAATGGCATGAGCCTCACTTTTGCATCCCTGAAGTAAAACGGCCACTTTCTTCAATTAAATTGCTCTATACTAAAGCAGCATTGTTTGTGAAGAGTAACTTCAAATCCATAATATTTCACCACTAGAGTTACCAATTAAAAAGTAAAAAAAAAAAAAAAAGACCAAATCTATATACCCGTGATCCTTAAAAATCCTAAAATTAGAAACATTCTTACTTTTAACCAAGAATTATATTGGAATGAACTAAAGACATCTTTTAAAGTAATTTTAAGTATACTCTTATTTGTTATTACAATTCTACATAGATTATTTTAAATTGCTTGTGGACATAATTTAACTGATAATATATCATAATGCCAACCACTACAGTGATCCAGAATCAGATTCTGGCTACAGAGGGAGCTTAATTATTAAGCAAGACCTTCCTAAAAAGCTTCAGTATTTCTGATTGGTAAGAAAAACAAACAAAACAAAAAAGAGCATCTCTCACTGAAATAACACTGAAGTTCGAGCTCGGGCCCCCTTCTTTGTTTTCAAAATAATTAACTCTTCAGGATAAAATGATGAGACATTTCGTCACGTTAACAATTCACAGTTATCTTCAAGAAAGTTCTATGGGCAACTCTGGTGTTACAGTCGTATATCTTGGATCCAACCTGGGGATGAAATCCTGAAAGTGTTTAGATGCACTAGTACCAAAAACATCAAGAACTTTTCTGTTTATGACGGCAAATCTGTAAAACAGAAGACACAGTGAACAAGTACTTAATGGAAATTTTTAAAAATAAAATAATTCACACTAACTGACGTATATATCGTAGGATGGGAAAAAAGGCTGATGCGGTAGAAGACCTAAAATCAATTATTGACTCAAAAGTCACAAAGACACTCTTCCTAAAGATTCACTGTTCCGTGTATTATTTAATGATATAATCCCTAGGCCTGAAACCCCAGAGATTACCATCATTATTTCAAACACTTTTAGAGTTATTTGTGTCATATAGAAACTTAAGTCCATTACAATTTCTGTGATGAATGAAATCACAGGAAGCTAAATAAATGAATGAGCTAACATTTACTAATGGGGCAAAAACTCTGAAAGAATGGCATTCCAATGAGTTGACAAAGATGGCATATTGTAGTTCTAAGATTTTTGAAAAACATTAAGTTAAATAAAATATTAAATGTAGTATCTCTCATAATTGTCAAAATAATTTCTCACAACTAAAACACATCCAAACGTGTAAATATTTACTGATTAAGAGGCAAACAGCATACGAGTTTTCAAATTTCTAAGACACAACAGAGTAAGATTAGGTTTAGATTAGTTAGACTTAAAATAATATGTAGCGACTAATTAGCAATTAATTAGATAATATATTAATCTAGAACACTTCAAATATCTAAAGTATTACAGGGAACAGTACAGTCAAAATAATGCTCACTAAAAGAATACCCTATTTTATTTTTATTAAGTTGGTCATATTTGATTTATATCTCAATATCTGCTCTATCACTGAAAGATTATTCCCTCAAGAAGACAAAAAGATTCATAATCCTTCCATGGAAACTGAAAGGATTATGAAACTTATCATGGAAATTGATGATCAGTTAAACCATCTTAATTGAAAGCAGTGACTCAAAATGACACATGTACACCAATGCTCACTGCAGCATTATTTACAATAGCTAGAAGGTGTAAACAACCCAAGTACCTATCAACAGATTAATGGATAAATAAAATGTGGAACATACATAAAATAGGACAGTACTCTGCCATAAAGACAAATGAAGCCCTGATGCATGCCACACAAGGATGAACCTTGAAAACATTATGCTGAGTGAAAATAAACCAGACACTTAAGGGCAAATATTGTATGAACCTACTTATATGAAATATCTGGAATAGGTATATTCATCAAAGCAAAAGAAAACTGGTGGTTACCAAGGAATTTGGGGAAGTGGGAATGGGGGAAAAAATCATCATAATGTCAACTTAAAATTGGTGAACTGTATTTTATTTGAGTTATTTTTCAATAAAGATTAAAAAATAAGGAAATGCATGCCACCTAAAACAGAAACATCTTAATCACTTACTTGCCCTTAGTGAGCCTTAAAAGGAACTTCCAGTAAGATGGCCGCAAAGTCTGAACTTCCATGACAGCCTAAGATTAGAATACTCAGTTGGAGACTTCTTTTAGTATATAGCAATATTATCAGCAGTTTTAGGCAACAGAGTAGTTCTATCTCTATTTTTATTTCTCATTTTAAAAATGACAGTGATTGCAATAATGATAAATGCATGTTTTTATGTTAAGTCAATAATTATCAAGAATCTTTGTAAATATGCCTTCAAATAGAAATGTTGCTTATAAAATAATAATTAATAGTCATTATTATCAGGATGCATTTACTGAGTACCCATGGAATAGCAGATACTTTGCTAGTAATAATAAGTTATCAACCTGGCAGCATTACTGTGAGAAAGAGCAAATAAAAGCTGTCCCAAAAACTTTGCAACAACTCCCAAATATTAACATCAGTGATGATTATAAATTTAAAGAGAATAGACAATGCTTCTATTAAACTAGATTCTCCCCTCTCCTCCATCCCTATACCCTTAGCAAAATTGAGGAAATGAAATTATTCTTATTTATGCCTATGGTATCTTTTTTCTGGAAGAAGGATAATTAAATTGGGACATTCTACCTCAGGATCTGTAGCAATAATTTACTTATAAATTGTACCCTATTTAAACCTAGAAAGTGGTATATTCATAACACAGGACCTGGTCCATTAAGTTAACATGTTCAATGATTTGAAACCAGGGCTTGAAACCCCTGCTGAGAATTTCCATTTCTAACAAGTTGCCAGGTGATGCTAACTAATGCTGCTGGTTAGGGACCAATTCTGAGAACCACTAGTAGAGCAAAAACAAAAAAAAACAAACCTGTTGCCATTGAGTCAATTTCAACTCATAGCGACCCTATAGGACAGAAAAGAACTGCCCCATACGATTTCCAAGGACCAGCTGGTGGATTCGAACTGCCACCCTTTTGGTTAGCTGTATCACTTAACCACTGCGCCATCGGGGCTCCACTGATAGAGCAGTGGTTCTCAAAATTTATTATACATAAGAATCACCTGAGGATCTTGCTGAAATGTAGATTCTGATTCAGTATATCTGGGGTGGAAATGCAAATTCTCAGCAGGGGTTCAAACCAGAATGAACCAGCTCAAAGCCCTGCTTGAAACTTGCAAGATATCTTGCTAAAAAAAAAACAAAAAACAAAACTAGCATAAACTGTAATGAATAGAAATGTTTTCAGAATCAAAAAAACTGGAAATAACAAATGTTGGAGAGGCTGCGGGGAGATCGGAACTCTTATGCACTGCTGCTGGGAATGCAAAATGACACAACCATTTTGGAAAATGATATGGCACTTCCTTAGGAAGCTAGAAATAGAAAAATCATATGATCCAGCAATCCCACTCCTAGGAATAGATCCTAGAGAAATAAGAGCTGTCACATGAATAGACATATGCACACCCATGTTCACTGCAGCATTGTTCACAACAGCAAAAAGATGGAAATAACCTAGATGCCCATCAACAGATGAATAGATGAACAAACTATGGTACATACACACAATGGAGTACTATGCAAAGATAAAGAAAAATGATGAATCTGTGATGCATTTCATAACATGGATGAAACTGGAGGACATTATGCTGAGTGAAATAAGTCAATCACAAAAGGACAAATACTGTATGAGACTTGTACCGTAAAAACTCACGAAAAAGTTTATACACAAAAAGAAAATCTTTGTTGGTTACGAGAGATAGGAGGGGTGAGGGAGGAAAACTAAATAGACAATAGATAAGTGGTAACTTTGGTGAAGGGTAAGACAGTACACAACACTGGGGAAGCCAGCACAACTTATACAAGGAAAGGTCATGGAAGCTCCACAGACACATCCAAACTCTCTGAGGGACTGAATTGCTGACAGGAGGGCTGTGGGGACCATGGTCTCGGGGAACATCTAGCTCAATTGGCATAACACAGTTTATAAAGAAAATATTCTACTTCTACCTTGGTGAGTAGCGTCTGGGGTCTTAAAAGCCTGTGAGTAGCCATCTTAGCCATCTAAGATACTCCACTGGTCTCACCCCTTCAGGAGCAAGGGAGAATGAAGAAAACAAGATACAAGGGAAAGATTAGTCCAAAGGACTAATGGACCACAACTACCACGGCCTCCACCAGACC